AATGCAATTAATTGCAATTTTCCATCAAAATATTCTGCTGAGAGAGACAGCACATGGCAACACTCTCACTAAGTACTGGAGTAAGTGTTATTATGGATAAAGGTCTCGTATTTTGGTCAGAAGTGATGGTTTAAAGTTAAAACACCTTAATGATGGATTTGTTTCTTACAAACACACAGCTTTTGACTTCACAAGACATTCATTGATGGACTGGAGTCATGTTGATTATTGTGATGTTTTTATCAGCTGTTTGGACTCTCATTCTGACGGCACCCATTCACCATAGGTTCCATGGATGTTAAAAGCTATTCATGGAGCCACAAATGCCAAGAAGCTTTATTTTTAAGAGTGTTGTCTAGCACTTGTAATTTCATCCAGCCCCTCTAGCTAAACACAATGAGAGCGACACACGGAAATGTGGCAAGCATATATGCTCAGCAGAGGTGAGAAACGGACAGCTGTGTGGAACGGCGATATCCATCAAAAGTGACAGTCAAATAAAAAGGTTTATGGTACCCACCAGGTTGGTCTCCCTAGAGACACATCTAAACACACATAAAAGGAACAAATATGCAGCAAGAACAGTGCATTTGTTTTCGCTCGTTTGAAACGGCTAACCGTGAATAAAAGACTGCTGTTTATTGTATTCTGAAATGATGCTGGATGTGACTCACTGTACAGGGAGTCTTCTTCAGAAAAGAAAGTCCACTGCAGATCTGATACAAAAGTGTGAGTCAGTTGTGGTCTTCAGGGCATCATGCATCATAACGAGTCAAATCAGGGCTTTCTGTTGATCTCATAATGGACCCTAAGGTCTTTGCACACCGAGTCTCCGTCATAAAAAAATTCGGACCAGTTTCGATTTTCTGCGTTTTCGCATCTGTAGCAAGCATTTTGATAGGAAAGGATGATGAATACGAAAAAAAAAAAGAAAAACGCATATGAAAATTTCGGCTGATGATACACTGGGCAACTTTTTGAGCAACGTTGCCAGGCAACCGTCAACGGGCAACCAGGTGAGACACAGGGCCCACGACTGATCTAAAATATCCAAATACAAATGTGTTACCCATTCTCAGTGGGAAAGTGCCCAAGCAACGTTGCTCAAAAAAAGTTGCACCATGCATCATCAGCCTAAAAGACACATTGTAATTAATGGCTATAAAATGCTAACACTATTTAGGACATAACACTCAGTTCTTGGTGAATAAATGAGAAAAATTGTCTGAAATTGATATGCTGCTCACACTATAGAGGCCTGAACAGCTAACCACTCAGAAACAGGTTTAGCTGCTGAAAACAAGTTTAGTTCCATGGATTTGAATGATGGATGACCAATCGGAAACATTTTTTCTAATAGAACCTTATAATAAATGACAATATTGTTAAAAATGCCTTTACATTTTAGGAAGGAGTTCTGGCAAGGTGATTGTTATCAAACACTGTTTTAATAAACCCAAAACAATGGATTACAAATGTAAGTTTATCCACCTTATTTTTCCCGTGAGAGCGGGCGCGACCATTTGTACATTTTGTGGGACTGGCTTCCGGTATCATTCGCTTTCCATCATTTTACAAAAGATCTCGTTTGGCTGCTTGATATTGCAAACTGGTGTGTCTACTATATTATTTTAATGCAATCTTAATTATGAACACACTGGTTTGTAGTGCAAACAGTTTTACAGTTTACTGCACTTTGTTATTCTTCTCGTTATTTCCCTACCGCGGTCGGCTAATGAACAGCAAGTAAGCGTGGATACGTTCAGTTGACGCAAAGTAGACGCTTACGTGAGAACCTCGTGTTCGCGTGAGGTGGTAACCATAGTAACATCAGGCCGCTGATTTCAAGTTTACATGTTCCGGCGTCGTTTGTCAAATTAGTGAATTATTTTTGGTCCCTTTACAGTTACACAGAACACAGGAATGAAACAGAAGACGGGCTTGAAAGGAGTTGAGGTAGTTACTGGGTTTGATTAACCCGTTTAATTGTGTTTTATGGTCGGTCACAATTGTGACCGGTGGGATAATGTGTATAACGTTACTGAATTAACATATTTCTGCAGTAAAAAAAAAAAAAAAGTGATATATCTTAGCCCAGCTATTTCAAACTGTTTGATCACATTCTAGGGATACTACTATTATGCCTAAAACCCCTTATATAACATTGATAGGAATACTGAGATAAAAGACAAAAAAAAATTAAAAAAAATACAACCATCAACGTATTTCTAAATTGTTACTTTTTTTGTCACATATATCATCAAATTTTTATATTAGTGCTACCAGTATTACAACATCAGTATTGTAACTTATTCGTAACATTTGAACTTTTAATTTAGTGCAATATTTTGTCATTGCAACATTTTAGTGTAATTTTTACTAACAACTGCAATTATGTTCACTGTTATCCCACCGGTCACTCTTGTGACCATCAAGATGTTTACTCATTCTATGACCACACTCAACCAAACTGAATATATGTGAATTCATATATTAATACTAGACACCTTAAAGAGAATGTGCACCAAAAATATTTGTCATATCTTTATGTTAACATACTTTACTAGCCTTGATCGTTTTGGAGCTTTGATGCAGCCATCACCTTCTCATAGTGCAAACAGGAAATAAACTGCTCTGGTCATGTGACAATTTGCACTAACCATGTGAAACTGCCTTTATTTTTTCCATATTTGCAGAAAGTGCACTAAAACATCAGTCAGTAAGGTTTTTAGAGCTTTATCAATGAAAACTTTTTACGGTGACTTGTGACCGGTATCTAAGGCTAATTAGCCTATTATTATGTTTATTTCTCTTCTTGACTGTCTTCCTTTGATTTTGAGTGGAAGTAGTTGAAATCAGAGTGCGAAGTATGTATAGATTCAATAGCGTTCAAACGGTTCAGTAACGACAAAGTTTCCCAAAAGTTTGCTCATTTTTGTAAATCTGTTTTTCTGCATCAAGTAGGCTAAACATAGCAAACATTACGCCGTTCCAGCGCTTTTATTTTGTTCTGTATGCCGATTAATCATGACAAGTTGGCTACTGTAATTATGCACCAGCTTAATGTATTAACATATCTTAAATATAACAAATGCTATCTGTTTTTGCTTTCTGTTGACATTTACGGTAACTGTTAGCTAGCTGTAATTGGCCCAAAGTGACTATGCATTTCAAGAGATGATTTTTACCTTCAGATTTAGCGTTATTTATAACGTTTAACCTTCTTTTAATATAATCGTTGAACTCCCTAAAAGTCATTTTATAATTCGCATCATGACTGAAACTATATACTGAATGACAAATGGAATGATATTGAAATGTTTGTCTCATAGGTCGATAAGACATCTACTGCCATGAACGCAGTAAACTTAGTCAAATTAGAGAAACCCTGCTGTCCTGGACGTTGCCGTTCTCGAGCAGTTTTCAGATTACTCATTAATGTGCATGGAACGCCAAAACCGGATTTAAACCAGGACCACCTTGACTACAGGTAGGCTTCTTTTTCTTGTGCAGATTAATTAGATAGGCTATATATGCATTGATCTAATACAGAATATATCATACAATTCTCATTTTGTAGCCTATTCATCAAAAATGCCTGCAAAAGTGTTTTTCTAGATTACAATAAGACACCATACACAGCTGTATTAACTGATTTCCTTAAAAAGAAAGATGATGAATTGTATGCACTCTGTTCCATTTTCATCAAGGGCTTCGTCAGCCTCCGTCATCCATCCAATTGGTGAGGGACATCATCAGAACAAATGTTGTGCAGACAATCAAGATCGCAGCTCTCAAGAAACTGAGAAGCAGAATGAGGAAGCTGAGAGTCCTTTCCATCAGAAGGAACAAAGCCTTTTGAGAAAAGCCATCAGAATTCTTCTCATGCTGTTCATTATTTTGGGAATAATTGTTATTTTCTTGATTGCCAGCCAGTATGTTTACCTGGAGTGGGATAGAATCGTAAGGTCACTGGGTCTTAACAAATGCATGAATGGCTTTGTAAAACTGCGGTTTGTTGGAATGTACAATCCACCCATATGAACATATGAACCCATATTTCCTTCAGCACTCAATAAAGCATTTAAAAAATGTCCTCGTGTGGTTTGAATAGTGTTTGTTTCTCTGTATCTCTGTATTTGCCTGTGTTAACATGCCAGTAAACACGGATCGATAACATTTGTGAAGGGTGACTTGAGCAGGTGCAAAGGTCCTTGTAATTACCAATACATACACATTAACCTCTTGACCTCTACATGAGGGCACAATTACTGAAAGAAAATGAAAAAAGTGAGGACTTTTTTATGAAAAGGTATGGTTTGTTCATGTTACATGCAGTAACCTGTGACACAAAGATGTGTATTTGTAAGTAAATATATCCTAAAATAAAACAATACAAGTATTTGTACCTTCAGTTTTTTTTTAAATAAGGATTATAAAGTGTGACGTGCTTCAAAAATATATTAAACAAATACATGAATACAAAAAGTGCATTTCTGAAACGTTTTTTAAAAAGATTTCTCCTTTTTATTTCTCGCACATTCACAGAAAATAACTTCTGGGTTGCAAAATAACCTGACTAAAATTTACGCATTTATTGGTCAACAGTGATAGGCTATTGTTTCTTTAATCATTTAGAAGCATGCATGTGGTACATTTCAAGAGTATTTGGAGCAACAACAACAACAAAAATAATATATATATATATATATTTCTGTGAGTTTATGCTGAGCTGGGAATGTCAAACTGGAAAATGTAAAATCCATATTATCACTTTCTTACATGATTGTTGAACTGGATGGGACTTTAATGACTATATACAATAATCAATAAGACGATAATCAACTGATCTCATGGACATAAACAGACCCGATCGTTGGTAAGTTGCTCTGGCGTTATTATTGATGAAGAGCCTGACGATGTCACCTTTTGACGTAAGTACGTCAGAGGTGAGAGGAGACATTCCCTTTCAATAAAAGGCGCCGGATCCCAGGAGCATCAGAGGACCAGGAGCATCAGAGGACCAGAGGACCAGGAGCATCAGAGGACCAGGAGCAAGAAGCAGCAGGAATATTAGCCTAATAGTGTTTTACTCTCCAAAGACCCAACTGATACTCAGGGTAAGTTCCTAGTCTCCTCCTTTCGGTTTTCTTCTGGGTGTGCATATTCTGTATGTTTCGTAATGCTTCACTGATGCTGCTTTTCAGATGCACAGGTGTGTCGGTGGAGTTTGTGTGTCTCTTATTGTGTGCGCGTTTCTTACGGAAACACTCGGAATGGCGATTGCGGTAAGAGTTACTTTGATTCAAAATGATGAATTTCATTTGGTTAATCCTGTATGTTTGAAGCATATAAAATTACGGAAACATTGAAACAGTGATTTATTAAAGATATAGGAACTGTTCTGTGTAACAACACTCCCTTGAAACGTCTTGTTAGGGCAGACCGGGGCTACAATTTTTTTTACCCTTCGCACAATTTCACGGTGGCTTTTTAAAAAAGGCAGTTTCTGTTCAAACACGTTACTTAAAGTCTTTGCTGTAAATATTTAACATTTTCACTGTTGTTGCGTTAGAAGAAAAAGAACGCACGTTTACTTTTGTGACAACATGCCCCAATACCTAGACATGTTGTCGCGCTTTATGGGGTAAGTTGTCACAACGGAATACGGCATTTAATAGAATATTATAGGGTTTTCGGCAAAATTATGAAATAGCATAAATGTAAAAGGTAGCGTAAAATGTCCATAACAATAGTTGTGGGAAAACAAATATTATAATTTAATAAACTGTATACAATGAAAACAACTAAAACACATATGACAACTTGCCCCGATAGTTGTTGAAAATACACTTGTTTTGGGAACACACTTTAACCATTTAGTAAAAAATCTATGTAGCTAAAATATGATGACAGGTTTATATACA